ATACAATAATAAATATATAACAACTACTAATAATATAATATACTATGCTATGCTAAAAATCTACTTTGTAACAATGTAAATAACAAAAATAATAATATAAATAACATTACTTTATTTTTAATATTGAATACCGGTAATTTCTCAATATTACATAAATAATTAGATCAAATTTTATGAATTATTACCAAAATTACCAAAATTTACTAATATTAATTATAACTTTAATCAAAACTGTCGATACTTTAGATTTGATCAAGTGATTAACAATTTTGACCAAAATTACATCTAATTGGATCTTATATTTATTAGACTACAAATTAGAATTAAAAATTACATTTTACAAACTTTTAATATATGTAATTGCAAGTAAGTTTTGATAACAAAGATTTCATATAAATTTTATATGTAATATATAGTATCAGCATTATAAAAACTTAACTGGCATTATTGAACTAAAGTAGATTCTGCATAAAGTTCACTAACAAAATCAAGCCTTCAAAAGTTTAAGACAGTTATACAGAAATATAAAAAAAATAAAACATTCATTAGCATAAAATTATATTTATATAATTGTTATTAACTTTTTGATTTTTTTATGCATTATGTTTTAGTATAACTATTTAAACTTTCAGAGTAAACTATATATATAATTCAGCAATCATATAAGCATATAATTATATTTTTTACAAATTATATAAAAAACATATTAGGAACCTGACAGAAATCAGCTGATTTTTTAGTAGGTGGGTAGGTTAACTAAAATATCAGATCTATATAATATATATATATTTTTATATAGCATATATATATATATATATATCTAACTAAATATATATTGTATATATATATATTAAAATCAATTCCAAAGTAAGTAATATATAATTGTGCTTGTACATACATAGAATATATAACTAGATATTGCATAAATAGCTTTGCAATGCATGCATGCTTATAGAATATATAGCTAGACTAAATGCATAAATAGCTTTGTGTAATGTGCATACTTGAATATATAGTTAAATAGAGTGATGAATTTAGAATTAACTTAGCTATTAATATTTCGATTCAACTTGGGTGATTTATTTCGACATGTATATGTAAATAAGCAATAGAAGCAAATACAAGATACATTTTCAAATTTTAATCCTTCTATGTATAAAGCTACTTTTACTTTGTAAGAATATAAAAAAACAGTAATAGTAAGTTGTGGCTTGGTCAAAATGACATTAGATTTTTTGTAAAATGTACTGCTTTAACATAGAAATAATCTCTCTAAGCTTTTAACTTTTATCTTTTGTAAAAATTAATAAAAATTTCAGTATTTTGACATTTAACTTTTGAACACAGAGGATTAAAGTATGATTTTATCCTTTACTGCCTTTATTTTTTTTGAATATTTCTTTTAAACTCAATTTATTTATTATTCAATATCAGAAAAAAAGCTTGAAATAAAAACACCTATCATCATTTTTTCACCCAGAGCAAAATTAGAAAGACACTCCATGGTTGCTGCCTGAGGTTTGGATTTTCTGCCCCAGCAAGAAAAATATTTCAATTTTTTATACTGAGCAAGAAAGAATAGAGTAGGAAAGTATTGATTACAGATAGAACAAACTAATCATGAGTATAATTTAGAAAAGATAGAAGAACAGTGTTGATTATAGCCTGGAAGTTTTGTTTGCTCCATATATTGGAGTATATGTATAGGGTTAAGAAAATGACCATCTCGACATTTAGTAGCTGATAGTAAAAATCCATTATTTTCATCTAACAAGGCATATGCTTCTTTAGCTTTCTACACAGAACAACATATAAGGTCTTTGCATTTCCTAATATTCAAAGAGTAATGATATATTTAACAATAATTTTCTATCCAGCTCCAAGATATACTTGAAACTTCACTAAAAATATTAGCTTCTTGATTAACATATTCAACTAATACTTCTTTTCCATAAATATAGTCTCATCACCAAATATTATACAATCTTTCACCAGTATAATGAAAGTTTTGGTTTGCCAACTCACTATTTATAACATTATCACTAGAATCAAGATGAGAGCCAAAATGGTCAATAGGCAAAACAATACCTGCCAACTTCCCTGAAAGAGTTGACATACTATGCTCTACTGGATTATAGGCAGACTGTCTCAAGGCATAAGTCTGAATAGTAAAATAATCTAAATTTAGTTTCAAAAATAATTTACAGTATTTTAGATGTCTAAAGTTTTCATTAGGACTGCTGTCTACTAACAAGACCAGAATTGGCTTAACCTTATCTTCATACTTTAATGCTTCATTTAGAACAAGATTTTTCATCATAGATAATAGGTCAGCCATGTGAGTTAAGAATGATGTATTAAAAGACTACTGTAAGCAAATAAAAATTAATAGTTGACCATTATGTAATGAATTATCAGAATTGTTTATATTAATTGTAAGGTAAACTGAAGGAATTAATTTTTGGCTTTTCCCTTTTAAAAAGTCATGATCAGATATAGTTACTAGTTCTTGGACAGTTTGTAAAGTCTTAAATGTTCTACCAACAGCCAGGATACTTAGGGAGACTTTTGTTTTATTATCCTGTGATATAATTACAGAATAAGAAGCAAAAGAATATGCGAACTGTTTGGCACCTTTAATTATATATAAATAATAATGTTCATCAATATGTTCTAGCATTTCATTCCTTAACACAGAGTTTACTTGAATTGACATAGGATGGTGGTGTCTTTTAGATTATAATGAATCAATTCGTCTAGGCCACATATATGTATTTAAACAGATATATGACATATAGACCTGATATCTTTTTTCTATTTCTTTTTTTAAGTGAGAAATTGTGCATACTTTAATAACTTCTTTTTGTTTTTTTTTAGCAGCACTACTGAATTTAATACATGAATGTAACTGTTCAGAAAGTTCATGATTTAAAAGAAGAAAAGATGGTCACCTGGGTATGTTATATCTAACAACTTCTCTTTTTTCTTCCAAAACTCTTCATTTTTTTTCTTGACTTTTGACTTGAGCAGTGGCATGTTTCTGTAATTTTTGTCTTTCTTTTTTCTTAGCTTCAATTTCTCTTTTTGTTTCAATAATTTGAACCAAGAAATCATGCCTTCTTTCAGGATTATATGCAATGTTAAGTAATAAATTTAGTTCATCAAGCCAATCTTTAGCAATATTTTGCTTTTTTAATGAACTTCTTTGAACTGTTATATTTGGAGGCAGTTCTTCTAATTCTATTATCGATACAGGTAAGGAACTAGCTTCATCTGCAGTTATAAATTGATTTGTTGAAGATAGTATAGATAGAAAAGATACATATTGAATAGGTTGAAGAGGGGCTTTTAGGTAACCATCTATTTTATATTCGATAATGCCTTTATCTAAACTTTTTACAGTTTTCTATTTATTTTGCACTTTTATAAAAATGTCTTGTTTTTTAAAAAAAGGTTTATTTATTGAAATCGCCATATGATAAATATATGCATTGCAAAAATTTTTATATAAGTTTGAAGGATTTTTAAAAATATATTTTTTATCATACTTAAAAGTACTTAAAAACCTTTGCATTCTTTATTTTTTTTATTTTATTTTTATTTATTTTTTAATTTTTGCTTTTGCTAGTCTGTAAAATAGATTTATTTATCAAATTTTCAATTTTTAATATTTATTCAAGATTCAGAAGTTTTTATTAGCTAATATATTGCAATTCTTTAAAAAAATTATGCAATATTATTAATATATTTTAATTTTTTTTCGATAGTAACATGTGGCTTCACGAATTTATTAAACAATATATTTTAATGCAAGTACATTTAAGATTCTTCTAAATTTATATAAATAGTCTTTTGAAGGCTTAATACTGGTTAGTTTTTCTTATTTTCTTATTTTAAATGCATGAATTTTAATTAACTATGAGTTATTATTCTTTCTTTTTTGAACTTGAATAATCACATGATCTCCTTAATTTAACTATTACTATATAAATGCAAAATAATACCCGTTTGCATGTTATTTTGTAGTTGCACTTATGGAGGATCGATTGTATATCACGATAAATTATATGCTACGTTAAGATGTGCATTAATTTGTGATCTCCATGGGCACTAATTCGAGGTCATGTAAGCTATTTTTGAAAGACCTAAGTTTAAAATAATGCCTAAGAGTTATTTCACATTTATACAGTATTATTTATAAGGATTTAATATTTTTTTTGTATCTTTACTAGTTCTTAAACTTTATTTTAAATAAGACTAAAGATCTTAGCATATATATATGCATGTATTTATATAGCAATTTTAGATATTTGGCTTTATCAGGTATTTTATATCAAGCTTTTTGCTGATTGTGTCAAATACTGATTGTATAATGATGTGAAATCATAAGAGCTATAATGACAATAATAATATGCAATATAGAGGATTTGGACAAAGATACAGGTTATCATTATTGAATTTGGGTCAAAACCTCAACAAAATAATCTCAATAGTCACATTAAGTAATATTATCTATGGCTCTGGTTTAATTTTGTTGGAATTTTAACTCAAATTTATCATTACATCTCTGTCTGTGGTGCTATATATTAAGTAAATGATTTGCAATTAAGACTTTATTTTTTACTATATTTGGATAATAAAGCATTTTATTTTGTATATACATAGTAATACTATGTATAAACTCAATAAAATAATGTATTGATTTTAATACAGCTGCATAACAGGCAAATACAAGATTAATTTAACAATTAAAAAATGCAAAATTTTTTGTATACTGATAAACGAAGTAAGTATAGCCATATATAGTTGATTCTGGATATACTGAATCTGCCTATACCGAAATCAGGATTTAGCAAACCAGATCAGACAGAACAAATTTTTTTATAATAATTTAGACTGATTGTACCAAACTCAAATAGTAAAACTTTATATATTGCATCTGAACTCTTTTTTATTAATTTAGAACTATGTATATATATGTAATATAATAAACTATCATAAAACTTTGCAAATGTATATATCTGAGAAGTCATGAAATCTGAAATATTTTGAGAAGAAAATGTAAGAACAAGGCAAAAATTTTTAAAGATTTTCTGAAACAAACTTGTTTATATACAAATTTTATTGGTTAGCTCTATATACCAAACTGTTTGGTATAGAGAATATAAATTATATAATGAATTTACTCTATACCAAACAAGATCTTTCAGAATATGCAGTTTGGTATGTCAAGAGTTGACTGTATTAGTATAAATATGCAAGTTTAACAAGTTATAATTTATTATGTTTTACTCTTTATCTATATGTGTTATAATATTTATACTTATTAAGAAATTTTTATATAATAGATAAGAAAAATTTGATTGGTTGATTAATATATCAGGTGTGTGTAGATGGAGGTAGCCTTTTAGTAAAGTTAAATTACTTGATTTCTGTCAGCTTCCTTACTGAAGCAAAATTTTACAAAAATTACATAAAATTACAATAATTTGATAACTCTATTGCAAATTCACTAATATAATTACTTATTAAATTTAAATTATCACATAATTAGAACTAAGTGATTAGTTATCTAATTTCTAAGAGTGATGAATAACTAGTTATTAAGGGTTTCTCAATACTATTAGCTAGTAATCGATATGTTGTTTAAAGCAATACAATTAAATAGTTATTACAGTTAATAGAAGAATAAATTGTTAAAAATTCATTGTTCAAAAATGCAGATTTTAAATTTTAGTTAATTAGAGCAACTCTATGAAAAAATTAGTAATCACAATATTATAGGTGAAAGTCTTTTTAATTTTTATACTATAATAATAATACAATACAAAGAATCTCTTATAGATATATACAACATCTAAGAGGGAAGTATAGCTTCTGTTAGACTTGTTAAGAAACTATACCTTTCTCTGAGACAGTTTGGAAAAGGTAATGCAATACTAATAACTTTACTTTATTTTATTAGAAGAAGATAAACCTTGACTGTAAAAATTACCTTAGAAAGGAAGTATCAATACAGTTTATAGTCAAAAGCTATTTATTAAAGTAATAACAAGAAGGGCTATTCTTAGATTTCTTTTTTTAAAAAATCCCAAGATGTGTTTATAATATTAAAGAGAAGAGAAATGTCTGTTGCTTAATCACACTTAAGGAATTTAGCAGGATTTATATATCTGTGAGCTAAGCAGCTAAGCAGCCAAGTAACTAAGCAATTAAGTAATTAAGTGACTAAGTGACTAAGTGACTACTCGATTACTAAATAACCAAAAGGTTTTAGCAACTAATAACTAATAATTACTAAGTAACTAATTACTAAGCAACTAAGTAACTAAGCAGCTAGGTGACTAAGTAACTAAGCAGCTAGGCAACTAAGTGACTAAGCAATTACTAATTGACCAGAAAGTTCTAGCAACTACTAGTAATAATAATAATAATACAATAATGAAATAACTAATATTAAATAATAATAATAAAATAATAATAATAACTAATAATAATAAAATAATAATAATTTATTCTATAACATTTCTGCTTCTTTTAAAAATTTACTCTGTAAATTCTATGTTTAATTGATTTGAGAAGTTGAATATACTTATCATCTAGCAACTTGATAATATACATTGCAGTTACATATTTCAACTGTAAGATTATTTCTCTTAGTTGTAATTTTAGAACTTTATATATTCTGAGAGCATCTTTTCAAGTATTTTTTGCTTTTCTTGTTATTTAAGCATTCTGGATAAGGTCTTTAATCTCTAAAGGATTATTGGACTTAGAAATTATTTGTTCTAAATAATAGTAAGTTTCAATTTTCTTGTTAAAGTTATGTCAAGTACATCCAGGAGTGGATAAGAATTTTAAGATTTAATTAACTTGTTCTTTCTATGTTCTTTTAGAAAAAGAATTGGTTATACTTCAAGTTGTTGACACTAGTGTTTGTTTCAAATTATTTATTATTTGAATTAGATAGTTAGTATTATTATTTTCTAACTCTATAAATACTTCATTAAGTGAAGTTTCAATTAGAGAAGGTTGTATTTCTTTTAATTGTAGAAATTCATTAATATTGAATTCTACAGAAGCTTCTATTATAAGGTTTAAGTTGATAACTTTTTTTAGTTCTTTATCATTCTAAAGAATAATATTTTGAGATAATATATTTAAGTAATTTTGAGATGCAGAGTTCTGTTTTCAGATTTGGAGAAAGTTGTTTAAAGCAATTAATGTTTCTGGTTGTAGTTTTAAGAATTCTATTTTTAGGAAAATTTGTACAATTTAAAGATGTTTATATAAATTTTCAAGTATTACAATCTTCGAATAAATTGTAATATTAAAAAATTTGTGTAATATTGTTGTCTTTTTCTCTGATTTTAGAAATTTCTTCCAGAAATACCAGTTATTCAATAAAAACAAAAGGTTCCCAAGTTTGTTTTTCATAATATTTAGTGACAATCACTATTATAGTACTTTTGCAATATTTTCTTTGTTGTTACAAAGTTTATAGGCATCATTGTTTAATTTTTCTTAAATAATATAAGGTCCAGTTCTTTTATCTTCGAATTTAGCTAATCAAAAATGTTTTATATCTTTTCTAATTATCTATATTTTGTTACCAATTTTGAATGTTTTATAATGGATTTTGGCATCAAAGTATTCTTTTTGTTTCTGTTGCGATTCATTGGTCTTTTTTCTTACATCATTCTGCAATTCAGATAACTTGTCAATAAGCTTAAATGCTCAGTGTAATATGCCATTTTGTAAGCTGTATTCTGTTTCTTTATGGAGTTCAACAAGTAGTAAAGCTTCAATTGAAAGAACAGCTTGTTATCTGTATACAAGCTGAAAAGAAGTATATTTAGTTATAGCATGCTTCTTTGTTCAATAAGCAAGCAGTATAGCAAGTATATGTAAGTCTCAGTTATTATCTTTTTTTACTTTAGTAAGTGATTTACATAAAGTTTGATTAAGATATTCAACTATTCTATTCATCTGTAGATAGTATAGTAAAAAGAACTTATGTTTGATAAGAAACTTTTTATATAAAATGTAAACAGTTTCACTAATAAAATTTTTTTCTTGATTAGAGAGAATAATTGTTGATATTCAATGTTGACAAATAATTTCTTTAAAAATAAACTGAGCTAAGGTATTTGCTCTGGCATTAGGTACATCACAGGCTTCTGGTCATCTTGTTAAATAATTAGTAACAACAATGTTATATTGATTATTTTGTTTAATAATTGGTAAAGGTCCTACAAAGTCACTTTCAATTTGTTCAAAAGCTTATTCTATTTGGATAGAATGAAAAGGTTCAGTTTGTTTGCCTTTTAGTCTCTTTTAGCACTTTTTATATGTTCTAACATATTCTTATATATCTTGATACATTTGGTTCTAATAATATTATTC